ATAAATTCTTCTGTAATCTGCTGACAAAATAAACCTCGTACAATTATTTAAAAAAAAAAGATCATTCAGTGTCGATTTAATAGCTGTCGCGAAATCGTCGAAAAATAAATCGCTGATTCTAATAACAAACGATATTGCAGCGTCGCATTCAATGTAAAGTACGGACAGTCATCTCGATGGGCGCTGCATATCCGGGAAACCGGATGTGTCAGCCGGCGCCTGTTCCCTCTCGCGCGCAACGCGCGTCGAGTTACGCGACGCATAATTGCGCTCGAACGTGCACCGATACCGGGATCCGATAAGCGGTCCGGCGCGGCGCGGCGCGGCGTCGGCGTGTTCGTAACGCCTAACGATTTCATTCATTTCGCACGACGGAATGAACCTGTTCCCGGCGACGACGACGACGAGCACGACGAGCTCGGCGCGGCGCGGCTAACGCCCGCGCGCGTAGCCGAGCGCGAATGCAAATCCGCGTCGCGCATGGTCGCGCATGGCCCGCGTTGCAACGAGAAACGCGATATCTTGGGACTACGTGCGGGACTCGATAACGTCGACCGGAGCACCGACTCCGAAGTCGTTTATCATTACGCGCCGGCCCGTAAAGTTACCTTCGAGCGCGCCGAGATTGATCACCTCCCGCCTCGGCCGGACTTATTGCCCTCCCCCACGCGTCTTTCGTCTGCTCCTTTTTCTCCTCCGCTCGTGGAGGTCCATTTCCATAACCGTATTGACAATCGCGCGCGAGCACTCGAGGCTGAATCTCGAGGACCCGCGAATAAAGGCGCCGGTCCGCCAGCTGGGCATCCTAAATCACAGAAACTTCAATTCCAAGTGGACCGAAGAATCCGTATAGGCAAGACAAAAATTCGTTTCAAAATCAATGCCTGAAATAAGAAAAAGGAGCTCCGCGCTTCTCTGACATCATAATTTCTCCCGTGGGCATCCTCCGCGCACTTTCGAAACTAAAGGCTCGGTTTTCGTCATAATCTCCCCTCGCAAAAATTACACACTCCTTGATCGCTCTAAGGATCGTGCTGTCATCGTGCGGGATATCAAAACGCGCGTACGCACTGAAATCCAACTTAATCCGATGCACGAGGCGCATGGCACGTCTCTCGCCAAACGCATCTCGACAGCGCGTACAGCCCGGCAATATACGTGCAACTGATTTTCCGGCGATGCAACGCCGTTGACAGCCATTCATTAATCGTGATGTTCGGTATACGTTGTAATCTACTGGCCGGCGTCGAGCGCGAGCGAAAGATGGGATTAACGAGAGAGAGAGAGAGAGAGAGAGAGAGAGAGAGAGAGAGAGAGAGAG